GGGTGGAAATGAAGGGCGCCACCATCGGCGGCACATGACTCAGCATCACGCTCATCTTCTGCCGCTCCGTGCTGGTGTGGACGCGAAGGGACCTCGCGCAGAGACCAATGCATAGAGAGAGAGAGAGAGCAACAAGAAGAGAAAGAGAGAGAGAGAGAGAAGAAGCTCATGCACACAACCGCCGACGGCAACGATACAAGATTGAACGACCTGCGCTGGCTCATCACTTGTGGCAGCACCCAGCTTCGCGCACCGCGCCTCGCGATGCGATGCGCGTTCGCCCACGTGCCCTCGCGCCCTTCCGCCGCCCCATGTGGAGACGGGGAGCCGCTCTGGCCCAGACCGCGGCGCGCGACGCGCGACCGCCTTCGCGACCCCAGCGGTGACCTGGAGGATACAGCGGAGGCCAGTCCTCACAAGAAACTGTCCACAAGAAGCCTCCTCCCTCCTCCTCCTCCTCCTCCTCCTCCTCCTCCTCCTCCATCACGTCCGTGGATTTCTGGCGTGGGCGCGTCCGCGCTTGCCGCAGCAAAGGCAACGGAGCACAGGCAAGCCAGGGCACCCCCGGGAGGCAAGCAGGGTGTGTCTTGACATGGGCTGCCCCTGTGCCAGGGGCCATGCAGTCTGCGGTCGCGGGCAGCCTCGGCGGCAGGTGCGACCCCGATGGCGAGCGGAAGCACGCGGCGCGCCCCGTCCGCAGGCTGCGCTCGCGGATGGCGAAGAGCGCGGCAAAGACGAGCCCGGTGTGCCGCCGCCGACCGCGCGCACGGCACGCTGCTAATGTGGAACATGGAGGAGTATAGAATGCCACACGGGGTGGCACGCTAAATCGACTGCCAGCCCTCACTAGCGCCGCATCGCAATATGCAGAGAGATGATCTCAACATGGGAAGCGACTGGGCCGCACTTCGCGGCCCTGGTCGGCGATCGTCTCCCGACCGATTCGACGGGAGGCCGTAGCAACCTCGCGGACGGCTGTTGAGAATCAGCAGCGCCAGGAACGCGGGTCAGCAACCCGGGCTTTGCTACGGGCCTGATGGGCCGTGACCAGGCGCGGCAGCAGAACGCTTGGGGCGGTGGCCGTCGAGCGAGATGGCCATGTAATCCATTTCAGCCCAAGTCAGGAGTGAGTTTCCTCTCGAGCCAAACTGGCTACGGAGGAGTCGGATGGAGGCACAAACTTCAGCTATTCGGGCCCCGGTCGACATGCAGGGAAAATGGGGGGGCGACCCCAATCAACGGAGGATGGAGAGAGGGAGAAGGAGGAGGAGGAGGAAGAGGAGGAGGAGGAGGCTTCTAGGAGGTCGTCGAAGGCTCTGGGGTGTTCCAAGGGGTCTTAGGGCTTAGGGAGTCTCCAGGAGGGGGGTGAGCTCGTCGTCCCGCCGTCGTCGTCGTCGTCGTCGTCGTCGTCGTCGTTGTCGTCGTCGTCGTCGTCGTCGTCGTCGTCACCATCCTAGCCGTCGTCGTCGTTGTCGTCGTCCTTCTCCGACTCATCCTCCTCATCCCTCTGCCTGAACGTTTCCTCCCCTCTTGAGACAGGCACTTCCCGCATGCAGGGGGGGGGGGGCAGGTTTTGGTCTCCACTGTCACGCATGTCCCTGAACAGCCCTCAGCCCCGGGGTCTACTGCTCGCCCTTCCCGCACGCACTGATCCCAGCGCTGAAGCTGATGACGTCGGGCTCAACTTTCGCCCCCCGCATCTCGCTCAGGGGAGCCAAACCTCGCTGCCATTGCTCGCCGCAGCCGATGACGTCGGGCTCCGCTGTTCCTGCTTCGTCTCACTGAACGGCGTCAGAAACCGCTGCCACAGATTGCTCTTCTGGCAACCGCTTGTCGCAGCTCTCTTACTGACTAAAGCTGACCTAGGGATAGTACGGTGGTGCATTGGATAAGGAACCCGTAGATAGGAAATCCAAGGTCTGGAGCCCAGTGTAACTCCAATCGAGGATTGGCCATGGATATCACCGCCGCCCTCATCGGATAAGGAACCCTCCAGGGTCTGAAGCCCCCCGGGCACATTCCTTAACGAACGCCCCACCGTATCCGATTTGATTATAAGTGCCCCTTGAAGTACCTAACTTTCAGGGCAATGGCCACATCCTCCTGCCAATGTCTGCCTTCGTCGCTGCACCTGCTCATGCACTGCATGCGATGGGTTGGAGCTCCAGCTTCACCTCTCCACCTGTGGTACGAGACACTGGGTGCTCACGCCCAATACTTCTGGAAATGCAAATAAAGACGTCAAGCTTCAAGATCCGACTTCGCCTCACGCAGGGCGGCGTGCAAGAAGAATGCGTGGTCCCAGTGCTGGCATTTCTCGCACACGCTCGCGCTCAACTGGATGGCATTGGATGACCAACTTGGGCCCAAGCCAAACTTCCTCAACACTCCATCGAACACAACTACTGCCCGCTGCAACTACCCGCCTTCCTCGCACGCGTTTGTAGCAGCAGTGTACATGATGACTGGATCCAATCACGCCCCGCCTCCTCCACCTCGC